CGTTCTTGGAAACCAACTACCATGCTGTGAGGAAGCCCAAGCTACCACATGGCAAGGCCCTGCCAAGCAGCCAGATTGAGGCCAGCACCAACTACCAGTCATGTGAGTTGGGCCATTTTGGACCCTGGGACAGTCATCCCAGTACCCAAGCCACTAATCATGGAACAGAACAGTCAAATCATAAGCTCATGAGAGATGATAAATGGTTGTTACTTTAAGAAGTGAAATTCCTATTATGCAGCATGAAATAACCCAAATACTCACTCCCGCCCTCTACATCCCAGCTCTGATTCTTTCCTGTGCCCAGACCTTCTCTACCTGGCGCGAGGTCCTTCTGTAGACCTGCCCAGCTTTGCCCTGGGATTTTTCTGTTGCTGGCTCCTATCAAGTTCCTTCCAAGACCAGAACAAACTCTCCGGCCCCAAACAGCCTTCACTGGCTGATGCCTTGTGAGGGTCTTGGGGTCAGATAGGACTTCCGGACTGTGTGACAGAGTGATGAGGCACAACTGTCTCTGGCCACCAGGAGAACTAAGCACGGGACCGTTCCCTAGGTGGGTCTACGGTTCGAGCAGTAGGCCCCTTGGATCAGAGTGCTTTGTGTCTGCTGGGAGCATGTTTGGCTCCAGCAACCTTCCTGTGTCCCTGCCCTTCTCAGACACCTACTGAGCCCCTACTGTGGGGCCTTCCTCCTGGAGGTGCTGGGGAGGTAGCAGAGGTAACAAGGTCACCACTCTGGTCCTTGGGGTCCTGCAGAGGGTGGGGCACAAAGTGTGGACATGGGCAATCACACCCAGAGTGATAAGGGCTCTGACAATTGTGGGGGTGTCCACAAAGGCCATCTGGAGAAGGGCATCCAGCTTTGGGGCACAGAAGTAGGGTAGGGCATTCCAGGCAGAGAACCCGGCACCTGCAGAGACCTCCTTGTGACCGGGGATGAAGGCTGGGGCACAGGGGCCTGCAGGCAGAGAGGGTTACTAGGGTAGGCCTGGAATTTATGGGAATGTCTCCAGCAGAAGAGAAAGACAAGTGAAGGAAGAGGTAAGGTAAAAGTGAAGGAAGTATAAACACACAGGTGGGCAGAGAGCAAGGAAGGGGCCAGGGACTTGGGAAAGAGGAAAAGATGTTTCTTAAGCACTTGGTCGTGGTCACTATGGTCACTTGCTGTGCCCTGGCTGCAGGAGTCTGCTTGTTTAGGCCCATAGGACCAGACCAATCTGCCCAACTTTCTGCCCAGAAATTTCCTGCTAGGTGTTGACAATGGAGGAAACGTCTCTGTTGACTCCTCGTTATCAGAGTGAGGATGTGGGAACCATACTGAAGCAATTCTGACAGAAAAGATGCTATGTCAACTCAGCGCAGGGGGACAGTGCAGCCCTTGTGTTTCCCTGGAGAGCTCCTGTCCTCCCAGGCTGAAGATTGAAACCAGGGAGGCCATTAGGCCTGTCAGGGCCTGCAGGAACCAGCTGGTGTCTCCTGTGGGCAACCTGGGGGAGAGTTCCAGAAAGGACCAGGTACAGAGGTGTGGAGAGTTCCAGAAAGGACCAGGTACAGAGGTGTGGAGAGTTCCAGAAAGGACCAGGTACAGAGGTGTGGGCGTGCAGGTGACAGTGCAGTTCTAGCTCAGGGCTGGTCACAGCAGGACCACATATCCCCTCCTACCACATCCTTGAGCCTGAAGGAGTAAGAGGGGGGAAACTGTGGCGAGTACTGGCCCTGCCCACTCCCAATGGCCGGCCTGTCCTAACCTGTGAAGCTGTTAGACCAGTTCCTCCCTAATGCACCCCCAGTGCCCTCTGTACCTCCCCGGGCTGCGTCTAGTGGATGAGGCTGGGAGCTGCAGTCCAGATTAGGGCCCAGCAAGGCCTCTTTCTGGAATCCTGAGTGTGTACAGCTCTAATTTCAAGGATGGCCATTGCAGTACCCTTGGTAAAAGCTGAAAGCTGGACACAAGCTGGTTCACCCACATATAGGGCAGGTCAGATGACGGTGACCTTCCATCCACATGAAGGAAAACAGGCAGCTGCTAAGAAATGTGCAGGCTGAGCATGTGCCCAGAGACAGGGCCTGGTGCAGCCAATTGCCAGGCACTGTGCCTCACACGATGTCACCCTGTAGAACAACGAACATGCCGGTAACACCGGGGGCGGTGGGTCCACTGTATTTTACACACTTTGTACCATCTTCTTTTGTTTTACACTAAGCACATAACACCTTTAAAAGTGATTTGCATAAAGTGTTTACATATGTAAAAACACAAAGCTAAAAATACAGTATGAAGGGAATGAATAGGAAAAGATGCCAGTGTTTTCCCCCAACTGATATTTGGCAATCTCTGTGAGTCAATGAAAGTGCACGGGACACCTGCAGTGTGCCGGGCTCTAGGAATCTGCAAATGCTCACCACCTACGGGAAGATGATGGGGATGATGGGCACAAAGTGAGTGCAGAGCGAGCACAGTCAAGGTGACAGGACCAGGGGCTGGTTTCCAGGGGTGAGACCCATGGAAGTGCTCTGGGGTAGAGCTGGAGAGTGTGTGGGCGTGGGGTACTCCTGCCTGCCCTGGGTTTTTAAGAGGAAGAGAACGTGCTGGACCGTGGAGGGCTCCAAAGCATTCCAAAGACATGTGGACACCATCGCACAGAGACATGCAGGCCAGTGGGACAGACGGATAGAGAGGCGGCAGTGGGCACAGACCTGGCATGAAGGCCAGAGCAGGGCAGTGTCACGCTCAGGGCTGCAGAACAAGTTACCCCAGGGTGGTTGTGCAGCCCCCCTACTGTAACTGGTCAGGTAAATTCATCGTCCAGATAGGCCAGAGAGGTGTGAACAGCTTGGTCTGCCTACCCAGTCCTGCTGCCTAGGAGGCCAGCCCATCTCCTGCCAGAGAGAGCCCTGTGGCAGGTCTGCCTGGGGACTCCTGAAGCCTATGGCAGAGTGACAGTGGACAGTGAGGTGTAGAGCTCTGAGGTGCAGAACTATAAGCTTTTTGCAGAAAACAAAACTCCTGGGGACATGGCAAGTGGGTGGGTATTCCTTCAGATGCTGAATTTGACAAGTCCAGGTTGCCTGGGACATGGTGATAAGAAGGCTTCTGAGGCCACATCGCTGGGGAAGAAGGCCAGGGTCGGCTGTTGGTGCAGGCCCTGGGTGAGGGGTGTGGCCTGGGGCAGGCTTGTCCCCGGTTTGCAGTCCTGAGGCCTCTGAAAGCCAAGGGAGACTGTCTGACGACCCTGCAAGTGGGACCAGCCTTTCAGGGAATCACTGTAGTGTCCCCAGCAGCCAGGCAGTGTGGGGCCCTTGGGCAGCCAGTGGGGACCTTTCCTGGCTCCTGACCTCCCAAAGAGAAGTGGCTGAGCCCTGGGGTTCTGCACAGAAGACAGGCCCTCCACACCTTGAGGGTAGATATGCTGCAGAACTCAGGTTCCATGTCACCTTTCCACAGGTACAGGGTGTGGAGGCCTCTGACACAGGCGCCAGCTAACAGCAGCCCAGGCTGGAGGGCTGCTTGCTGTCCTGGCTCTTGGGTGGACTTCCCTCCATTCCTGCAAGGAGAATAGCATTAACTGAGCACCCTGCAGCTGATGCTCGGCATGGGCCACTCTGACCCTGACAGTCAGAGTGACCGACTTGGACTCCTAGGCCTGGCACGGGCTTAAAGACCCAGAGGACATTTCAGGTGGTAGCCCAGAGTGGGCAAAGGCACAGACTGGAAGAGCCAGAATGAGGCCACATCCTCAGCTGTCAGGAGGACAGGGAGGGATAGGGAAGGAGACTGAGACTGCAGGTGGGTCAGGGAGGCTGCAGGCCTGAGGCCAGGGTGACAGTCAAGACAGGGTGTCCAAGGACAGCAGAGGGTCGCAAGTTGAAGAAATGGCAGGGTCTGAGGTGACAGGAGGATGGTGGATGTCCCTACCCCCCTTGGCCATGCCCATACGCACGGATGAGGTCTCCATCGCCGACCTGCAGCTGGGCACTGTTCCGCCTTTCCAGGTCCTGCAGCACTGACTGCTCGAAGGCCAGGGCGGCCACGCGGCTGAAGAATGCCTTCACGTTCTCTCCTGTGGGCCCACAAGGTGGCAGTCACTCCCTCTGGTTGCATTTGGCATAGGAGCCAGGGCGGGCCTCTCTGAGGCTGGCTCATGGCCCCTCCTAGAGCACCCTAACAGTAACAGTAGCACAGGACGGTGCAGCCTGCCCACCTGTTAGGCAGCACCTGCCACCCGCTCTCGCTGCCTGCCCACACCACTCCCTCACACCTCTGAGCCTTCATTCCCCAGCATCTACTCTTCCAATTAGTTGCCATTGAACACTAGGGGCCGGGTGCTGGGACATGTGGAACTCTGGACAGACACTTTTGATGACTGTCAGATGGGGCTATGAGGGTTACTGTGCTCCCCTATGGAGCCTCTGTGTATCTTCCTCCAAGTGGAGGTGCTGCCCATCAGGGAGCCGTTTGCTCCCAGCCCTTAACGGGCACACTGCACATGCCCCTGCTGCAGCCAGCAACCTGAACAACTAACTGCTCAGGGCAGTCCTGCTTGGCCCATAGCAAGCTCTCTGTAAACTGTTAATCTGACAAAGGAGGGCAGGTTCTGACAGCAGAAGGGAGATTGTCTGCAAGGAGCAATAGAGGGCACCAGGCACGAGTTTGCCAGGTGTTTGCAGTGGGCTGGAGGGGGCACTGACCTTCAGTGCATATCCAGTCCCCGGCTGGGTGTTCACTGTCCTCCCTTGCCAGTGGCAAGGACTCCTGGGCCTGATTCCCAAGTCCCCAGAGCCCTGGGGGCCCACTATGTGCCAAATACTGCACGTTATTCTACTTCATCCCTGACAAACTGTGATTTCAGTCTGTTCTTTGTGTCTCTCCATTTTCTAATTTTTCCTCAGTAAGTACGGATGTTTGTGATTTAAAATTTCCTTTTCCTAACAAAACCAAGATGGGCAGCATCAGCCTGATTCCCAGATGAGATGACTGAGGCTTGGAGAGGTGGGCATCTTGCCAGGGGTTGGGGGCCCACTGTGGCTGGGGGCAGACTGGGTGGGGAGTGGGATGGGTGAGAGCTGGGGACTGCAAGTCATGATGATACCCAGGAAGGAGTGGGAGCCCCCCTCTTACTGTGCCTACTACATGCTGAGAAGTGTCACACACTTGGCATCTGAGGGGCTGGGGCAGGACAGTGCCATAGCTACAGGTGTTTCAATCCTGGCCCTGTCGCCTCCTCCCTGTGGGCCTGGGAGTGACTTCACAGGGATAAGATAGAACCTGCCTCACAGGTAGTCTTGAGGGCTGCCTTGGAGAACATGTCAACATGGTATGGGGCAGGGTTGCTCTTCCGCCATCCCTGAGGCAGACCTCTCAAGGCACTGCCAATTGCCAGCATGGGGGATGGCATGCCACGCCAGTACATGCAGGGTGATGGAAGGGGAAGGCAGATGCAGAGGGAGAGCTGCATGGCAGGGTCTTCAAGACTGGCCTAAGAGCCATGCTCTGTCCCCACCACAGTGACAACCTGGGTCCCACTCACCAGTCTTGGCGGACACCGACCAGTACTCAGCCTGCATCTGGTTGGCCATGTGCACAGCCTCCGCTTCGGCCTGCTCGCACGCTGCCCCTGACTGGGAGAAGTGGCCCTCACTGACCCAGGGCTTGTACTCTCCTGCAGAGGCCCCTGGGGTAGGCAACTGCCTGTTTCCCACAGTGCCACCTCCCTCCCTCAAACATGGGCTGCAGGTGGAGGCATTGTCCTATGGACTGTCCCAGCCTCCAGTGCTGCTCTGCTCACCAGAAGGTCCTTCTTGGTTCCCACGAGGAAGATGAAGCAGGAATTTGCTTCATTCTCTCGTAGCGCATCCTGCAGCCACTGCCTGGCATGCAGAGGGGAGACAGCTGAGACATGCCACCCTTCCACTCACCCAGAGCAGGGTCACAAACTTCCCTAGGGCTAGAAACATCAGGCCTGCAGGTGCAGGAAGAGTGCCCCTTGCTGGCTGGCAGGGTGCTGGTACCACAGCCAGATGGGCTCAGTGGGATAGGAAGGGGTGGGACTACAGGAGCGCTGTTAAGGGGCAGTGAAGACCCCACTCTGGCCCTGGCTTGGCCCTTAACTCATGAGACCCTGGGTGAGTCCTGCACTTTTATCAGTTGGAATGATCACCCCTGCTTCCCTCACAGGGTTTGGAAGATGCTGGATGTGAATGTCCCAGGGCTTTGGTCCACCAGCTGGACGACTCCCAGAGGAAGCAAGATGGCCTCCCAGACTTGGTTACATCACCAGTTTGCTCTGCCCAAGACAGTAAGGGCCAAATTCAGGTCCCTTCAGACTAGACTGGCTCTAAAATTTTAAGGCCCAGGGTGAGGTGAACATATGGGACCCCTCCTTCAAACTGATTAACTTTTGAGATGGTGACAGCAGAGTATTAAAGTAGTGCAGGGTCTCTGGAACACGTGCCCCACTGTGACTGTGCTGGCCTCGCATTCAGGTGCTAGGGACAGTGCCCAGCCCACTGGCCTTGGAGTGGGGACCTCTTTCAGGCAGCTTCCTAAACCCAGGGGACCCACAGGGCCTACAGAACCCGGACTTGCCTGGTGTGCTCCAGAGTCTGCACGTCAGTAAGGTCAAAGGCTGTGATGATCACTGGACCCGGAAAAAGGCAACAGCCAGTTAGCCACAGTGAGGCAAACAGTGTGACAATGGGGCCCAGGAGGAGCCCAGCTTCTGAGGAACTGCCAGGGCGCCCCCCCCACCCCAGTACTCAGCACCAGACCCCACGGTAGAAGGTGGGGAGGAAATACTCCATCACTCCATGGCTCCCAGGACCCACCTCCCTACTGCCCTCCCCCGCTGCATCCAGCAGCCCAACCAGGGAGGTGGAAAAGGCAGGCAGGAAACTCAAGGACTTTGACAGCAGACTCTCAGCCACTTTTGGCTGAGGGGGCTTGGATGAGGGTCTTAACTGCTGAGCCTCAGTTTTCCCACCTATAAAATGGTGGGAATGACGCCTCTAGGTCTCTGGGCTGCTGCAAGGATTAAACAGGTGCAGCTGTTTTTTGTTTTTCTTTTTTGTTCGGTCAGGGCTGGGTTTGAACCCATCACCTTTGGTATATGGGCCAGCACCCTATTCCTTGAGCCACAGGCACCGCTCTGAGTGCAGCTGTTTTAAAAAGCTATTTGTCGGGGTGGCACCTGTGGCTCAGTGAGTAGGGTGCCGGCCCCACATACCGAGGGTGGTGGGTTCAAACCCGGCCCCAGCCAAACTGCAACAATAAATAAATAAATAAAAAGTATGTTAAAAAAAAAAAAGAGGTTTGTTTAAAAATAAATAAACAAAAATAAAAAGCTATTTGTCCACGGCCTGTCACAGGATAGACTGTCAACAATGAAGCTATGACTGTGAAGATGACTGCAACAGCCAGCTTTAGGGAAACAACTTCTGTGGAACTGGGTGGGCAGAAAATGATGCAGTCTGTTCCCTGAGCTCCTCTGGTCACTGCCCTGCCCTGTCCAGTGGTGTTGGAGAATGGAGGGTGCTGGACCCCCTCCTGGAGGACATTCCACAATGGCTATGCTCTACTGGCCCCCAGGAGTGTGAGCAGGGCTGGACAGGGGCTTCCTTTGCACTTGGCTGAAGGCTGCAGGAGAGCCTGAGTCCCCTCCAGAAGCACAGAAGAAGGGAGAAGAAACTGAGGAGAGGGATGACAGCAGCCAGGCTGCTGTTTGCAGACTGCTGCCAGGTGCCTCACACCTCATCCCCAGGGGGGAAGCATCCCCTCTCTTAGAAGACAGAGGCCGGAGAGGCCATGTGGTGCTCAGGGTTTGTTTCCTGATTTTGTTTCTTCCAAATCCTAAAGAAGGTGTTTTGTTTTGTTTTTTACCACCATTAAGTAGACATAATGACACCCTATAATTTGAGTTTGGCTCTAGAAGCTTCTGATGGTCCTCTCACATCTCCCACTGAACTCCATCTCTGTCTTCCCCCAGGAAGGTGGGGTTGGCACAGGGAGCTAAAATGTGCCTCCTGCTGACTGTCAGCACTGCCTGGTGCACCTCGGCTCTGGATGTGTGGGTGGGAAGCCGCACTGGGGACATGGCTGTCCTCCCATGGTCCCCTGTCATTCCTCCTCTTTGGCCCAGCCCCTCCTGTTGAGGAGGGACAAGCCTCTGCCCTGGAGTCCGATGCTGCTCTTCCTTGCTGGGGCCTCTCTCAGGATCTTTCTGAGCTGAAGACTGGGGCTGAGAGTTAAAGCCAGCACCTACCGCCATAGAATCCCTAAAGGGCCAACCAGGCCCCAGCATGAAGGCAGCTTCCCTGTCCCCAGGCAGCAGCCCAGGTGTTTTCTCAGTGGTCAGAGGCCAGAAACTGATGTCTGCTTGGAGCATCTGGGTTTCCTGTGGTGCAGCTGAGATGGGAGCCCTACTGCACATGGCTGAGGGCCCCAGAATCGCAGGCTGCTCACCCTGGGCACCCCGGTAGTAGGCAGATGCGATGCACTTGAACTTCTCCTGCCCAGCTGTGTCCCAGCTGTAAGGTGGGCGAGAGAGAAAAGGAAAGCAGTGGCAGGCTAAGCAATTGCAGTTTTGAGTCAAAAAGCTAGTGGGTAGGAACATCCATGCCAATGGGTAGGCTTCAAGAAGTGCCTGTTGCGACCCTCTCTCCCTGTCTCCAGTCGCCATGATCCCTTCCTATGTGCTTGGAAGTGCTGGGGGTGTAGGGGGACCTCTCTCACTGCAGTCACTGTGGCTGGGGGGAGGGGCCATGGCATTAGTCGGTCCACTGCCCTGATGAATGGAAGTGTAGCTCAGTCTCTTCTGGCTGGGACATTAAAAAGGAGTACAGGGGCCAGGCATGGTGATGGCTTACGCCTATAATCCCAGAGCTTTGGGAGGCTGAGACCAGAGGATCATTTGAGCCCAGGAGTTCAAGGCCAGTGTGAACAACACAGTGAGACCCTATCTCTACATAAAAAAAACTGAAATAAAATTACCTAGTTGTGGCAGCATGCACCTGTAGTCCTACTACTTGGGAGGCTAAAGGTGGATGGCTTGAATCTAGGAGTTTGCAAGTTTACCATGAGTGATATGATTGCACCACTGTATTCCAGCCTCCATCTCTTAAAAGAAAATAAAAGTAGCATATGGCCCACAATGGGGCTTCTCTTAAAGATGTGGACATCCACAGACCCTCTGGTGCTGGGGCTGTAGGCTGGGCCTCCAGCTGTGCCTCTGTCACTTGCTCATGTGTGTTGGGGCATTGCTTCACCTTCTGTGCTGCAGGTCCCAGGTCCCTAACAGGTGACTTTGAGCAGTTAGCTCTAGCTCTCTGGATGCTGAGAAGAACTTAGGAGCCCTGGGTCCATGGAAAAGAATGCAACAGTTGATTAATGATGTCTGCCATGGGCACAGCCTAGTAGAGAAGGCCCACATGCTGAGATCTACTCACCCTGGTTTAGAACAAGGCAGGAGGTCAAGATGTAGGAATGAGTCTGAAAATCTATCTCATTTTAAAGTCAGCAGATCAAAATTTAACTTTTCTCAGTAAACTGAAAAATAGACAGACCACAAACAACACATTGTTGGTCTGAAAATTTTTTAAGGGATTCAGAGTGATGCAGTGATGGGTTCTTTTGTTCATTAATTCATTCATATTTTCTTTCATTTCTGAAAAGACTCTGGAGGGAGGAGCTGGGAATGGTGGCCTGAAAGTGGGGCCTGTTGGGAGGTTGCCTGTTGTCTCAATGTAAGACAAGAGGCTGAGCTGGGATAGTGTCCCTGTTTTGTCCTGGGCCCTCTGATGAGATATAGCCTGTGGTCACAACAGTGAGTCTAGTCACCAGCTACTCTCTGCAGCTCTCACAGTACCTCAGCCCTGTGTCCTTATAGCCTGTTTTGCTCTGGAGTAATCCTATACTCTCCCTTGGCCCAATTTGGTATCATCTGTCTGCAGCACCACTGGGCTGAGGAGGTCCTGAGAGGGGAGGGAACTGTCTTGACAGAGTCAGGAGCTCATGCAGGCTCAGCTCAAACTGGGCCAGGGGACTGAGGAAAGAACCTAGGAGAGACAAAGGGGAAGGGGTCCAAGACAGAGTCCTGGTGATTTCCAGCAGGCAAGCGGGGGTGGGGTGGGATAGGTGGGGGGCAGGGGTGGCCGTGTAGGAGAGCATGGAAAGGGGAGGGTCCAGAGCAAGATGCCAGCCATGGTGCGTAAGGCTCAGCCCAGGTGAGAGCCCTGGGCTCCTGTGAGAGAAAACAAAGGGAGGGGAGGAAGCCACTGGGCCCCTGAGAGGCAGGTGCCTGGGGCTGGCAGGGGAGAAGACAGACAGACAGACAGGGGGACTTACATCTGGAGGCTGTAGGGAATCCCTGCGATCTCAAAGCGCTCAATTTCAAAGTCCACCCCAATGGTGGCCTTATAATCTCGGTCAAAAACATTCTTGCAAAACCTATGGGAGGCAGAGAAGTCATCAGAGACGTGTCCTCATAGAAATGTGCAGGGAAGCTTCCCTTTGATAGTGCAAGTGTGGATGGACAGAATAGCCACCAAGAATGTGTGCAGGAGCTCTGAAAACCTGCAAGTTAGAAGCTAAGCGAAACTGGGTGTCCAACCATAGGGAAGGCAGTGGACGGGTGAGCCCATGGTCCCCGGGGCACAGAGTGATGAACACCAGTCTCCTGGGTGCCTGACCCTACCATCTCCCTGATTTCTTGTACCCCTTTCCCTCTAGCTCCTACCAGGCTGAGGCATAGTGGTTCTTTAGAATTACATTGTTCCTACTGTGACAACATCATTTGGGCTACCCAGGTAGAGGTGTGACAAACTGGTGCTGGAGGGTGTGGCTGATGGGGCTTAGGAAGCTGCGTACCTGTAGATGAGGCTGGTCTTCCCCACGTAGAGATCGCCAACGACAACCACCTTGGAGAGTCTGAGCCTGTGGGAGATGCATCCATGTGGCCTCAGGCAGAGTCTGTGGACACTCTCAGGCCCTTCTTTCCCTGAGCTCTCTCTGCTGGGGAGCCACCCCTCACTCCTGAAGACAGGACAGGCCACCCTGACCCCCTCTCCAGATATCTGAGGGCAGAGTGGGAGCACCTGCATTTGTTCTAGGGACACTGATGCCCCTGGAGCTGCTCCTCAGGTACCGCTTGGCCAAAGCCCCTGTCTTGAGGTGGACATAACAAGAGGCTGAGTCACAGGCTGAGGGGCAGAGACAAAAGCTCAAGGTCGGGGTATGGTAACCAAGAGCCACAGGCATGTCCCTGCAGGGAGGTGCTACGCTGAGGGTCAGACACGTGGCCTCTGTGCACAGAGGCACCAGAAGAAGCAGGGCACAGGCAGCCCCTGCACCTTCCTGCCCACCCCAGGGCTGTGCGCCTGCCTGGGTTCCAGCTCCTTGCAAGCAGGCACTCCCCGACCAGGATGCCACCATCACCTGCTCACTTGGAAAGGCCCAGGGGCACTCTGGGTCGACGCATCTGAGCTGTGGCTTAAGCCAAGTCAGCTCTGAGGTTCTTAGGCTCTTTGGGGACACTGCACACTGATAGCAGCCACCAGCCTCACTCTGGGTGTGTCCTGCACCCTATGTAGCAGCATTTCTGGGAAGATGGGGTCTTGCTATGTTGCTCAGGCTGGTATTGAACTCCTGGGCTCATGTTTTCCCTTCTGCTTCAGCCACCTGAGTAGCTGCGACTGCAGGTGCATACCACCCAGCTTCCTGGGATTTATATTTGAAAAATTTCATCCCAGAGGAATTCAACAGCTCCAACAATAAACCTGGGTAAACAAACACCTGACAGGGACTGGCTTGCAGACAGCCAGAGGGTGCCTCTGTGTCACCTTATGACAGCTTGCAGTTCATGGACAGGGGCTGTGTATCTACCCTGTTCACAGGTGGTTCTCTCCTTCTCTATCCGGATGAAGGATAAAGGTACTTGCAAAGACCTTGAGGCAGGAACCCGTTGTGCCTTAGTTTCCCTGCTTCTAGCAGGGTCAAGGAAGTAATCGGCATGCAGCACTGGCTGTGGCACTAGCACTCCCCAGCTGATGGCATTACATTCATCCCATGAGCACAGATTCTTCAGCCATTCTGACCTGAGCTCTGCCTCACTCTGTGCAGCCTTGGGGACCTCCAAGCTGGGCTCTCTTGCAGCCTCACCACACTGTGTGACACCTGTGTGATGTGAGCTCAGCCAACTCCTTGAGCAGACTGTGAGCTCCTCAGGATGAAGGGCTAAAGTAGGCCCTTGACCTGTTTGTTAAAAGAAGGAATGGGCTCGGCGCCTGTGGCTCAACCGGCTAAGGCGCCAGCCACGTACACCTAGGGTGGCGGGGTCGAATCCCCAGCCCGGACCCGCCAAACAACAATGATGGCTGCAACCAAAAAATAGCCGGGCGTTGTGGCGGGCACCTGTGGTCCCAGCTACTTGGGAGGCGGAGGCAGGAGACTCGCTTGAGCCCAGGAGTTGGAGGTTGCTGTGAGCTGTAATGCCACGGCACTCTACCCAGGGGGACAGCTTGAGGCTCTGTCTCAAAAAAAAAAAAAAAAAAAAAAGAAGGAATGAGTGCTGCCAAACCCCTGTGCTGGTGGTGGCAGGTGCTTCAGAGGCAGGAAACCCCTCTAGCTAGGTCTAGTGAGGAATGCAGACGAGTAAACCCGCAATTCCAGGAGGTAAGTTCTTGGGGCACAAGAGCACACAGGAGGGGCACCCCATCCACCCCAGGCTGGAGGAGGTGGTCATGGGGGATCAGAGAAGGATCCCAGAGGACCTGACACTTACCCTGAGACCTGGAGGGGATGGGGAAAGAACCTATGCTGTGCCCCCAGGCTGAAAATCACCCTAGTGGGAAAGGGGTCATTGCACAAGTGGCAGAGGTGTGTCAAGTGGAGCCAGATAAAAGCCCTTCTATATCAGGTTGCACTGGCCTGGTCTGTGTAAGCGTTTCATTTGTTCATTCTTTCACTCACACATTCATTCATGTGCTCCTTCCTTCCCCACCCTCCTCGTCCCCTACCCCAGGCCCCACAGGCTCACCCAACAGTCCCCGTGTTCCTGCGCTGGCAGGCTGCGCTGACGTGCCCGTGGAAGTGCTCCTTGAGCTGCAGGCAGGCTTCGGGTGTGTACCACTGCAAAGAGACCGACAGACAGACTGAAACACCATCCTGCCAAACTGCAGCTCCATCCCCAGGGCTAGGCAGCCCTTCCTCCCCAGAGCCTTGCAGCTGGCAGCCTCATTAGCTTTCCCTGACCTTCTGTCATGTCTGTCCTCTATGTCATCAGCCTCAAGGCTCTGAGGTCTTGTGAGTCCAGAGGAGCCAGGCTAGATCAAAGTGCCTAGACAGGTAGGCAGAGACTCAGAGATATGGGTCTCACCTGGGGAGCGGTCCCCTTGCTGTATGCATGTGACAGTCCTCTGCCTTCTCTGGAACCAGACTTCTTGGGGTAAAATGAGGGGTAGAAAGTGAGGGCCCTTTTGGCTCCAAGATCCTCCTACACAGTCTGCGGATCTCTGATGCCATTTTTGTTTTAAAAGTATGCATACCTGTGCCGGGACAATGTCCTAGAAGGGACTTTGAGTCTTCCACATTTCTTGGAAGGTAGAACTGAGCAGTGGTTTAGGAGCGTGGGCCTCAGGGTCAGGAAGAAGTGCACATGCTCTGCCCACCCTTACCTGCTTTGCCCAAATCTCTGAACTTTAACTTCCCCATCAGAGGCTTGGGCACAAATGAGATAATGTTTGTAAAGCCATCAGCACAGATCCAGCCTGGAATATACTAAGGCTCAATAAATGTCCACAGGCTATTAAGAAATAATGGTGGGCAGTGCCTGTGGCTCAGTGGGTAGGGTGCTGGCCCCATACACTGAGGGTGGCGGGTTCAAACCTAGCCTGGTCAAACTGTAACAAAATATAGCTGGCATTGTGGCGGGTGCCTGTAGTCCTAGCTACTTGGGAGGCTGAAGCAAGAGAATCGCCTAAGCCCAGAAATTGGAGGTTGCTGTGAGCTGTGTGATGTCATGGCACTTTACCG